GGAGTGTCGGCCTTTCTATCGTTAGTTGTGTCGACACATTCGCCGCATTTCTCAGTAAACAATCGCTTCAATTCGTTGAGTTTTGCTAAGTCTTTGGCAGTCATGAGAAAATAGGGTACAAATGAGTTCATTGTGTTGAACAGGGGGTAAACGGTGGCCGCCGTCTCCCGGTTCGGACAGTTCGCCAAAGTCTAAACAAAAAATAAATTCAAATAGAATATTAAATATGATATAAATTTAAACACAACAAAATAACCTTTTTATACAATTTTAATGCATTGTAAAAGTATTTCAAACACTTTGCAAAATCCCAACCATTGAAACGACTTTTGGCCATTTGTTTGACAATAACGTCCGGATCGTTGGCACCGGTACTCAGTATTTGCATTAACCGCATGAGCGCCCGATAGTCATCATTTGTAAACCGTATACAAGTTACCCATACATTGTTCACACATGCAGTGAATGTAATGTATGGCATGTGTGGGGAACTGGCGTTTGTAATAAATGTGTCGGCATTCAGAACAACGTCCAGATAGTTGATGGGCGCCGAGGAGTGAGAGCCCGGCGCTAATGGCGAGAGTATTGGTGTGGATACAGGCGATAGTTTAAGTATGGGAAGTGTACTTTGAATCTCTGGTAGTTTGCCGTCTCTGTTCACCCCGTCATCGGCCACACCATCACTAACACCAGTGCCGGTACGGGTGGACAGCCCTAGCGTTTGTTTCACATAAAAGCCGGCGTTTGTAATAATGTTATTGAATGAGAAACCGCTTCTACAAGACGTTTCGGCTTCGGTAGGGCTAGTGTTAGCTACGGGTGCGATAGACGAACTGATGGTGTCCTCCCCTGTGTTTATAACTACAATATTGTTTTCATTGTTAAACTTTTTAACCAGATTTTCGTGCAATTTTTGTGGTAATTTTGGTGGCGTTGAATGAGACGGTGATTGGGGTTCCGGTGTCCACAGAGTATCGCTATTACTCTCACTATTAGTGTAGACACTTTGGGATGTGTTGTCACCTGCAGTCGAGCACTCCTTCTTCTCTATGTCCTCGTTATCAGTGAAACTGTTTTCACTTAAGTTGAGTACATTTTTCTCGTACTGTATTT